GGCAAAGATCGGTAAATTCAGCCACTCGAAAATGAAGAGCTTCAGCTCGTCACGAGAGTTCATTGATCAAAACACATTACAGGCATGGTGTAAATGTCACAAGGAAGCCCCCTTGTGCGATTAATTTATGTTAATAACAAATGAAATTAAAAAGAGAGAGAGTTAAGAGAAAGCAAGGACAAGCAAACCACAGCTTGGTAGAAGAGTTTTGTGACACATATACTAATGAAAAGACTTGTAACGATAATATAAAAAGAACTCTGCGATTAATTTATGTAATAACAAATGAAATTAAAAAGAGAGAGAGTTAAGAGAAAGCAAGGACAAGCAAACCACAGCTTGGTAGAAGAGTTTTGTGACACATATACTAATGAAAAGACTTGTAACGATAATATAAAAAGAACTCTTACAAATTATTTAAGAAAAAGACAACCCAGTTAGAAAAGAGGGAAAGACTTCTACATAGGCTTCACAAAAGAGCAAAGCTGAGTGACCAATAAGCAAACAGAAAGGTGTGCACCCCGATGGTAACAAAACTAAACTCACGACGTGGTATCACTAGCCTACCTCGCCACATTGCCAAAGAGAAGTCTGGCAACCAGACTGGTTGGATGGAGCCACAGGGGCTCTCGGGCACTCCTGATGGCAATGCAACCTGGCACAGCTGCTTTGGAAAACAGTTGGGAATCATTTTGTAAGGTTGGAGATACACATATCCGATGACCTGAGACTCTCACTCCTAGGTTATGTATTCAGGGGAATCCTTGAACGTGAGCACCAAGAGACCTGTGCGAGAATACTCAGCAGTTTTCATAATGGCCCCAAACGAAAGCAACCCCCCATCTATTCATAGTAGACTTCACTAAAGAAATCTCAGTTTCCTTTGTACAATAAAAATACTATTCCCTAGTGTAATGAACGCATTAATGCTGCAAGCATCAAGAGTGTAATTTTAAGCAACGAAGGCAATCATATAAGGGTTATATTTAGCATGATTCCATTTTTTAAAAATTTAAAACATGTAAAACTAAAAATGTTTATTATTTAAGAGTACAAACGTGGTATAGAAGGGTAAGAGAATGATCAACATAGAATTCAGGACAGTGATTAGGCAATCAGGTAAGAGGCAAGAAGACTGGATAGGGAAGACATTTATAGCCAGTCAATATTGCCCAGGAAACTAACTTATACATAATATATATGTGTATGTATGTATATATAATATACATATATGCAGAAATACATATATATATAAACATGTATATGTATAAATAAATATACACAAGCAATTCATCGGTACCATTAATGTTCTTTTTCTTAAAGAGACAGGTATACATATTCAAGTAGTGTTTCTATTTTAAATATATTTAATAAACATTCTTCTAGTTCTCAATATGAATAACAATTTAAAGGATTCTAAAATATCATAAAGACACTGTAGTAGCAGTGGTGGTAATAATATGAATTTCCATCAATGATTGAATGATTACCATGTACAAATGCCTTAAAAGCACTAGCCAAATCAATTCTTGCCATAAACCCTCTGGGATAGGGATTTTATTATTCACATTTGGCCCAGGAGGAAATGAGACACAGACATTTGGTGACTTACTCAAAAGAGGTAAATTGGTAGTCCAAAGCCAGTCAGTCTCTTAAGATTGGCCTATTAATTACTATAAAGAACCTTCTGCATTCCCTTCCTTCTGTGCAGAACTATCCCTGCAACACCCAGAAAAATGGTCACTTCTCCAAAGGAATGAACTTAGCTTTGGAGTTCCTTTAAGAGACCATTCCTGGCTCTCACAGTCCCTGTAGTTAGGATGTTCTCCCCAGCTGTTGAATCTATCATTCAGCCTCAATTCTACGTGGAGTGACAAAATGGTTGCAAAGTGCCTCTTAGCTTTAAGCACTTTGATCCCTGTCAAAACTTACTTAAAATACTTAGGCATCAACTGTTATTGTTTCAATGACAGTAAAGATGGTGTATTGGTTTGTTTTTGTGTCGCTATAATGAAATACCTGAAAGGGACAGGTGTGGTGGCACACAGCTATACTCCCAGCCACTTGGGAAGTAAAGGTACAAGAATTGCAATTTGAGGCTACCCTGGGCAAAAGTTAGCAATACTCTATCACAAAAACAAGTTGGGTATAGTGGTGCATGCCTGTAGTCCCAGATACTCAGAGGGTGGCAGTAGAAGGATCTCAGTGCATTGTTGGTTCAGGAGAAGTTAGTACAAAACTCAATCTGAAAAGCAAACTAAAAGAAAAAAGGCATGGGTGGGGGTATGGCTTAAGCGACAAGTGCAAGGCCCTGGGTTCAATCCCCAGTATTACAAAAACATAAAACAAAACAAAACAAAAATCTGTGGCAATTAACTTATAAACAGAAAGGCTTATTTTTGTTCTGGTTCTGGAGGTTCCAATCCAAAATCAAGGAGCCCCATTGCTTTGGGCCTCTAACAAGGGCAGCATATTGTGGTGGGAGCATGTGGTTGAGTGGACCACTCACTTCATGAGCTAGGATGCAAAAGAAGAAAACGAAAAAAAGAAAAAGCAAGAGGATGAGCTGGGGTCCCACAATTCCCTTCAAGGTTACACCTGCCGTGACTTAAGGAACTCCCACCAGGCCTGATTTCCTACAGGTCCACAGCATGCCATGATGAGGGGGCCTCACCAGAGTTGAGCAGAATCTGTGCCATGCTCTTGAACCTCCAGTGATCTAAAAAAACTTCTTTCCTTCACAAATGTTAACCCAGCACCAGACGCTTTGTTATAGCAACAGAAAACAGACTAATGCAGATGGGTAAACGCTGGAGGATCAGCTGCTGCTGTGAGAGCCTTCAACTGTCTCAGCTGGCAAGTATTCAATAGGTGGACAGGAAATCCTGGGAAGGATTTTCACTTCTGTGGAAGCAATTCTGGTGGTACTGTCTGTGATAGGTGTGGCTTATGGCCACAGGAAGCTTGAGGCTTTCCCAAGCTTCAGAGAGTCTACAGTTCTGCTGGGGACAAACTTGTCACAAACAGTATGGCCTGGTGGTTGGGACAGGTGCCAACTCAATCTTGTTTAGGTTGAAATGTTTTACCCAGGTTTGGAGGAAACCATGGGATCCACTGATGACATTTGGCCTCAACTTTTGATAAGTATTTTTGGGAAGAAGTTTCCCACCACAAAGGAAGAAATACAAATATTTTAAAAGCAAACAAGTCATCGGTGGCTCTCAGACCTGCTGCCATATGCTTTGCTTTTCCAGTTTACAGCTTAACATTAAAATAACAGGCTTGCATTCCTCAAATATCTCCACTGCTGTTCCTTGTTTCTACTATTTGAAAAGGCTGTCAGCTGCTGTCACTTGGAGGCATTACCTTATTAGCCACCACTGTTTACTGCCGACCCAGTGGTGTGGCTATTAGTCTAATAAGCAACTCTATGTGACACCCTGGGCTACGGAAGCAAGGACAATACGCTGGCGTCTGACATCTAATGAAGGGTGTGTACTTGTGTTGGAGATGGGGAGCAGGGTTCTTCATAAATACTGATGAAAGAAACTGCGTTCAATTATAACAGGTTGTACTTTACTATATTGGGATGGGTAGAGGATCCAATATTTTAAAAAGTAATTTAACCATTTTAAGGGTCCATGGACTAAAAACATCTTGGGATAAAATCCAGAAATATACTGGTGTGCAAAAAAAGCAAGTTTGAGATCTGCCAGAAGTAAAATACTGGCAAAGCTCTTTAATTCACTCTGCATAAACAGCTGAACCTACAAAAGAACTCTCTAGTCAGAGGTTTCCTGGATTATAACAAGAATTCTCTCGATGGGGAGGAAAGAAATGCCCTTTTCACTTGAAGACAAAGAAATGTTTGTAATGGAAATGTGTGAACCAATTTTCCAAGGAGAGCTGCTGAAAAGCACTGATTAAAAACACAGTGAGGTGATGAGGCAGAGAAATCAAGCCAAAGCTGACCCACTTAAAGTTTTCCACTACACTTCACAAAATGAAGAAAGCCACCTTCCACATTCCTTCCGTTCTCCCCCGACCCCAAGCTGTCCCCACTCCATTACTGGCTCTGCAACCATGTAGACAATTAGAACCTTCCAGCCTGCAGGAGTGTTTACTATTTCCAGCCACCGTGTGCTGTTACTAAGTTACCACTGAGGATAAAACGGTAACCCGGTAGCTCAAAAGACAATGTTCTTCTATAGGAAGCCAACCTAACCCGAGTTCATGGATTCAATAGAGATGTGACTCAGAGGAAAGATGTGAAGATAAATAGGCAAGTCAAACGTTTGACAGTTTGTAATGATAATGCTTACAGTATGTACAAATATTAAAGAACTTATTTAAGGAATTTAGCTTCCTAGAGAATAAAACCAAGGCTCAAAGAAGAAAGGTACCTTGGTTAAAGCTGCCCGACTCAGTAACACAGGACAAACAGGCTACAAAGCAATGCTTCCCAAATTCCAGTCATTGGAATTTACAGAATTTTTACCATATCCAATATTATCAGAATTAGTATTTAATTTATATTTTTCTTTTCTTTTTTTTTTTAATTTTTATTTTATTCATATGTGCATACAATGTTTGGGTCATTTCTCCTCCCTTCCCCCATATATTTTTCTTGAAATTGCCTAAAAATTCTTAGTCCTCTCCTGAACAATAACTTTCAAGAAATCACACTTTGATATATAGTATGTTTTTCCTAATATACATTTAAAAATGTATAACTATTAAAATATTCACCAACGATCATCTAAAATCATCCTGTGTGCTCCATGAGGGAAGAAGGGATGAAGCAGTTTACCTAAACAAGGATAATTTAATGCTATGTTAGGGTGACCTAATGAGCTAAGTTTGTTTTTAAGTACCGGGAAAAAAACAAGAGTAAAGGACATCCTTTTGTATGACTTGCTCCCAGGATGCTCATTAGGAGGAGGAGGAGAAGTACATTTGATAACCTCTGAGTGGGAGAAGCAAAGCGCAGGGTCACTTACATAAAGTTCTCCGGATATTCGCTCAGGGCCATGTCAATGATGTTTAGAGCATCGTGGTAATGCTTTTGTGCTGACAGTAAGAGGGCAAGGAGGTGCAGCGAGTTGGCATCATCACCTTGGAGTTGGAGAGCTTGACGGACGTACCCTAGAGCCTCTGGTATCTAGTTTAAAACAAAACCAAAAAGAATTTTTAAACACACACACAGGAACACAGGAAAGAAGTCATCATTGAATATCTGAGTCTCTGTGATATCAACAGCTGTTTTGCATTGTGCCACATCCGCATCTTAGCCAAGTCTTCATGGAAGCCCAGGATTATTAACCACAAGGTGGAAACAGATGCTCTCCTCCAGCCACAGAGGATGATGAAGGGATGGGAGAGACCCAGTTTCTCTATGTAACTGCCAATACCAAATCTTTTACTTCTCCCTAAGTAAACACTTTCTTATTTTTCCCCCACAAAACAGATTTACTTTTGATTGTGTCCAATTACATTTCACTGTAAATGGAGACACATACAAATTGCCAGGGGTTTTTAGTGGAATTAAGCTGCCTTGCTGAACTGTTCTCCTTTATTACAAGTATTACTGAAATTAAAGTCATAAAACCTTTAAAGAGCTTTCCAAATGATCATATGTCTGGATCTCCACTGAATATGAAGGAAATATGCAAACAAACAAGTAAAACTCCACATTTTTTCCAAACTATGACCCCAAATAACTGGATGCAACAAACAAATTTTAATGCCACATACAAAGCAGAGGTATCCAAATTCGAGTGGAACCAGAAACAACCTTAACCTTTAAATGCAACAGCTGTCCAAGATGCTCGTCAAACCACCCACCATAGGGTTGGTGAATGCATATATGGTATCTGAACATGCTAGATTCCACACGGGTGTCACAGTAGCTTGAGGGAATGAGAACCCCAGCTGGATTTCAAAATATAGCTGAGGACAGAAGCATTCTTACACAACTGCCCCAGGGACTCTCCCATCTGGCCTCCGACTCCAACCCTGAGCAAGGCCTCCTCTCAGCTCGCCTGCTTCTCCCCAAACTTCAGTATCTTTAGACCTTAACCATGAAGTCTCACTCCCAGACCTATTAGTCTTCCTCGCTGAGCCTCCATTCTACATGGATTTAGATTATAAATAATTATAGATTATATGGAGGCTTTCCTCTTTGGAAACATATAAGCATGGCTGTCATGGCTGGAAGAGATCAACCTGCACCATCTTTCATTTTCAGGGAGGAAGCTGAAGTCGGTTGGGAAAGATGAAATGACAAAGCAAGCCAACCAGCTACTGAGTGGCAGAGATGAGGGTAACTCTAGACCTCCTTCTTCTCATTGGTTGAACAGCATTGGTTCTAAAGGTAGGAATGTCACCACCACTTGTGAAAGCACTGGTGTATTGACACCACATGCCCATAAGCCTTCGGCTACACCTACAAGGCTCCATCCATTTCTCCTTCCCCAGGGTGACAATCTACTGTATGACCAGCACTTAGTCTGGTGTTGTGTGGAGGATCAAATGGCAGGCTAGCCTCATGGTGCTGATATGCGGGGATGACCAGAGCAATCAGGACAAAATGATGTCTGTGGGGGACAGCAGAAGAGGGAACTCAAAGTTGGTTCCTTCATTCAACCAGTCTTATTGAGGGCCAAATGCCAGGGTAAGGCAATGACAATGACAGACAGACATGCTGCTCTACGTGGAGACTCAAGCCCAGCATGAAAGAAAGATACTCCACAAGATAGCTGAGCAAGAGGAAGGAGAGGTACAGGCTGCTAAAGGAAGGAGGCTTTGAGGAGAAGGTGGGAGTAGCTCCCAGTGAAGAGGAAACCAGATGGTCTGTGCTCAGCCCGTATCTGCTGCAGCAGCAGCTCCTGGCCAATCCAGCTGTGACCCACACCGTGACAGGGGAGGGACCTTTACAGGGAAAGTATCTTGGTTTCCTTGGTCCCCAGGCTGTCAATGAGAGCCACTTTTTTGACACTATTCCCAGGCAACTAGGAAGTCAGATGCATGCCTCAACTGGGCCTGCTGGGGAATGGCATGTCTGGGGAGCTGGCCTCTCATTCACCCTCTTAGTCAGCACTCAGGAATGTGCTGGGGTCACCACCACTGTCTTGCACCTGGTGGGCAGGCAGGCATGTGGCTGGAGTCTCCAGAACAGTTGGGAGGTCACAGGAGGGTATGAGCATGTCACAAGCTGCCTTTGGGAAGATTAAGGCCAGCAGTGCCTGCCCCTCAGCAAGGAGAACACTGTTGAGTCTCCTATATTGAGTAACCAGTGGATATAATTCTTCATATCTTCCATGAATTTTAAAGGATCTGTATCTTTTGTTTATACCTGCTGGCATCTCCCTGTCAATCATAGGTTCCTTATGACGACCAGGCTCCAACCAGTGAGTAAATCCTACCACGTAGCTCAGCACTGGGCTTTGCTATTCCATTCCTGTTAGCAAGTGACAAAGTCTCTTTGATGACCCATGAGTCAGGTTATAAGCCATGACCCGAACCCAAAGCTGCCATTTGACCCCAGGGCAGGCTGATCTCCAAGATCAGCACCTAGAACTCCTGGGTGTTCATGGCTAATGCTCAAACTGACCAAAACCCCAGGGTCTTCTCCTGGAGGAGTTGGTGTGTCCCAAGAGGAGTCTGTGTCCCCTGAGACCCTGGCTACACATCAGCCTCAGGTAAAGGAAGATCATCTCCCACCTGAAAATGGTGAGCTGAAGGAAGTGGGTGGATAGAGAGGGAGTACCAAGTTAGGAAACGTTAGAGACACTGACCTGTCTGGAGATGGCGAGCTGCAGAGCCAGGTAGAAAGCTGCTTGGTGATCTGTAGGTGACAGGCTGTGGGCCCTGAAAAAGCATTCATGACCATTACAAGTCTTCTTCATTTGTGCATTTTTCTGCTCGGTCATATTTTTAGTTATGTAATATCTCATTAAACTCTTCTCCCTTGTCCACTAGTAAGTTTTCCTCTGACCACTGTGTATGGGTTTTGTCTAGCATCTAACATGGCAGCCAACTCTCCCTGGCTGTGTGGAGGGGTCTAGCAGTGCAGAATCCCACAGCCCTGAGGTCTGACCACCCAGTAATACTTCCCTAGATCAAGCAGGAGAAGCCCATGTGTCACACCGGGTCATAGTAGTCATGTGTGCCCTTGGCAAGGCAATGGCTGTTTTGGTTAAGTTTGGCTTGGCCGTCATGCTACTTCATCCAAATTTCTTGATTTCGGAGAAATCATATGAAAATCAAAGACCTAGCTTTGCTTATAAAACGAGGTTTTAGTTTTTCATGAACCAGAAGGGGAAAAGAAAGACACTCATCCAGTCTTTTGAAGCTTCTACTAAATTCCGTGCAGTTCACTAATTACATCCATATAACCGTGCTGTATAAGACCGTGTGGCAGCACACTGGGCTGAGTTCCCTTAGCAGGCCTTTGGCACCGGCTGCAAAGAGGCCATACTGGCCACCTAACTGACTGTAAACATAGTCTTTTTTTGCTTTTATGTGGAAGTCAATCGTATTTCACCACAAACAAATCAAAATGGGACTACACACAGGACATGCTTCTGCCTTTATCAGTCTGGTGGGAAGAGAAAAACAAACTTACTTTCCTTAAAAGGGACCACGAAGCAAAATAATTACAAATGGTGGGACCGGGATAGTAAACAAACCATCAGGCTGTTCTGTCAACACTCTGTGATTAAAGGAGGATCTTCTACCACAGAAAGCAAATCCAAGATAAAACAGAAAACCAAATCATGGATTCAACGGTGGCAAACCTGCCAAGGATGGCTTTCTGTAAAAATAAGGCCTTTTAATTAACTGTCTGCCTTTGACTCTGAGGTGTGTGCTATCAGGAAAATATGCCAAGTCCACAAATTTGGGGTACTGTTTAGGCTAAAGTGGTAGCTCATGTGCAGGACTGGGGTCTGCCCTTTTATTAATCTTAAAAGCAAGCAAACTCCCATCCCCAGGAATCCTCACCCTCAATCTAGTCACAAGATACAGCCTTGGGATGTTTCTCAGCTGGGTTTAAGAGAACTCACTTGCCTGCATTGCCTTCTGTCATGTCTTATTTCTACTGGAGGCCACTTTGCACACTCCAACTCTTATTATTTTATGAGTATTGATTTTCCATGCATTTGTACATGAAAGAAATTTTTCCTTTGGTGTTCTTAAGTGAGATTAGAATGTCATGGTTTCTATCTCTCCTAATTATTCAGGGAAAATGATTACAAAATTGATTATGAAGAGACTTTGAATTATGCAAGATTATTTATCTAATCTGCTTTCAAAAACAATAAAGCTGGGTTTCCACAGCCCTTAAAAAGATTTTGTCAGAGCTGTAATTTTCTCAGGCCCCTTTATACTTTTCACAAATGAAGTTAAATCATGGGTGCCTCTTGTAATGCCAACTGAGTGAGAAGCTAGCAGTGGTCTGGTGAATTCAGTGTGGACAATGATAGTTCATAGTTCTGATCACAGGCCCCACCAGGACCTCCTCAAATGATTGTAACCTGTTAGCCACAGCGACGTGAAAGAAACAGACCAGAAACACTAGCAATCTTGGCATTTCTGGGGTGCACCGAGGCAACATTTGAAGAATTTTCAACCTGGCTAATCACAAAAATCCAACTGCCAAATTCCTAATGAGGCACAGTTTAAACACACACATCTTAAATACCTCATTTAAAAAATCTGGCTAATGAATTAAACTGACTATTTTAGCCAAAGAAAGAAAAAAGGAAATAAGGAGAATGCCAAACAAAACAAGAAACAGTGCGTGATGTGGTCTCACATAGACCCTGAAAACCTTGCTTCGGTAGTGTGGAGTGTCTTCAGCAGCTAAGCTCCTGGGACAAGGTACCTTGGTGTGCTTACTGGAAACTTGCTCGACAGAAATTAGCAAGCAGAGCAGGTCAAGCCTGCTGATCTCTACACATGAGTCTACAGCAGCCCAAAGTTCCATTCCCACGCAGAGACTACCTGGCCAGGCTGCTAAGAGAAACCCAGACCTGAATATGCCAATGGACAGTCACGAGTGCTTCCATTGTCAGAGCACTTCAACATTTATTAACTGTATCTTTCTTCCATAAGGAAGAGGCTGCCCAGCCTCCCTCCCATCCACCCATCCTTCCACATTAGGCAGTACCTACTGTAATGCTAGGCTCTGGGGAGTCCAACACAAGTGTCTGTTCATGAGGAGCCCTCCTACCCACCCACACACCAGAGGGGAGGCCAAAAATGATCATCATGGCACAGCAGAGAGCAGTGCCTCAAGGTACTGAGCTGCTGTTAGAGCCTGGACTGCTTGGCTAGAGCCCAACATGCCATGAGGTCCATCCCAGTGCTCTCCTAGAGTCCAGTGCCAATGTTCTCTAGAGCTGAACCAAGAAGATTAAGAAGGCTGATCAGCACACAAGGGAGGGGTGAGGATAGGTAAGACACCTAAAAAACTAGATAGCATTTGTTGCCCTCAACGCAGAGAAACTAAAGCAGATACCTTAAAGCAACTGAGGCTTTAAGGAAAAGCCTCAGTTCTCTTTTTTAGGAGAAGGGGACCAGGAACTAGAGAAAAGGTAAGATCAAGAAGAATTAACCTAGAAGGTAACACCCACGCACAGGAAATCAATGTGAGTCAACTCCCTGTATAGCTATCCTTATCTCAACCAGCAAAAACCCTTGTTCCTTCCTATTATTGCTTATACTCTCTCTACAACAAAATTAGAGATAAGGGCAAAATAGTTTCTGCCGGGTATCGAGGGGGTGGAGGGGAGAGGGAGGGGGTGGAGGAAGGGGGAAGAAATGACCCAAACATTGTGTGCACATATGAATAAAAAAAAAATTAAAAAAAAACATAAGAAAAATCTAGTAAAAAAAAAAAAAGAAGGCTGATCAGTTTTGGCCCTGGTCCCTAAGGCGTATGCCTGGTAAAAATTAAAATAAATTATAAGTACAATTTATTAAGTATCTACCATTAAGCATGTTACCCTAGCAAAAGAGGTAGAGCCAAAAGTGGAATGGAGGATGTGTGATTCCAAGGTCTGGTCTTTATGCAGTCACCCTGATGCCTTGAGCCAACTCTTCTCAAGGTCCCCTGCTGTCCTGATTACAGTCCTGTATCCACTGTACACCTCGTTAACTCAGGGATCCCTCAGTTGCACACAGCGAGCAACCAGAACTGAAAGTCACATGTTCTGGGAAATGGCTCAGTCGCAAACGAATCAGGGTAGGTAGTCACCCTATGCATTTAAAGCAAATTAAGACAGAGGAGACAATTTTGTGAGGTTGAGTACCCTCTGCCACATTGAGTGACAAACACAAATGATGCCATGTTGCCTCTGCTTCTGGAAGCTGCCCTGGCTTTCTGCATTTGTGGGTCAGTGCACTGAAACATGCTGTCAAAGTTCTCAGGATTGCTTTTCTCAGCAGGGTGACAGCCCAGAGAAGCAGCAGCTCATTATGTTGCAGACAACATTGCGTTTTCCTTTACTATACTTTTGTCCAGAGGTCAAGCTTGTGAATGTCAGAACAGCTGACAGTTTTAATATTAGGATGCAACCATTCCACTTGAATGTCTTCAAAACTCACCCTTTTGAGTCCCCGAGGGAGCAAAGCTTTCTGAATTCTGGCTCTAGCCACAATATAAGTTGATTTTCATGGGCTGTATCAGCAATCCCATTACTTTCTAAATTATATAATTTTCCTTTTAAACCAAAAAGGCAAAACAATAGGATAGGGGAGAATAGAATAGGAAAGAAAAATGTAAAATATATAGTAGAAAAAGTACTTCTCATCCAAGTGGTTTTAAATTACCTTTTTATATTTAAGAAGTAATATGAATCATTCTTATTTACTTAAAGCCTTTCCCCTTGAGGATTTATTAGGACTCCAATTCACTAAAATAGTCAGTATATACTTGAACCAAAATAGTTTTATTCCTTTAAAAAACATTCTGTATTTCATACAAATACTAAGTTAGGATAGCCCTTCTGCAATAGTCAGTTAGGTTAGTAGGATTTTATTACTCTTGATTTCCATACGAACTAAAATTTTAAAATCTCTTTGAATTAAAACCTAAGCAGAAAAGGAGCAAAAGAGAATTCAGGCAAAGGAACAGCTCTTACATAACATGGAGTTATACTGGCAGTTCCAAGAGACCACCATTGTGGCTGTTTTTAGAGACCCAATAAGATGTGCTGATTTAAGAAAAGTAAAACAGATGTAATGGCCGCTTTCTTAGGCATCCATGTGTGGGTTTTACAAACTAGGCCTGGAGAATTTAAAACCTGAAATCATTTGAAATGGAAATGCTTTCCACACTCCATGCTAAAGAACACCAACAAAAGTTTAGCACACACAGATCTGTTTGCAGATGTCAACTGGTACTTTTTACCATTAACTGGACTGGGACTGGCACAGTGAAGGAGCTATGGACAAGCCTGTAGGAAGCAGTAGGAAATGAGATGGAAACATTTCAGACTAGCTGAAACCAAATGATGACTTTATGATAAAGACACATGGATACCATGACAGATCTGGAGACAACCCTGGCTCTAAGGAAAGGATCTAACACAGGTGGTTGGATATAGAGATGGCCTCATAAAATTTCCAAATACATAACTGTTCAATAGAATTTTTAAAAAATCAAAGTAAATTGTATGTATTTAAAGTAATAAGATCAATTCCAATTGGAGACTTCACCTCATGGGCCTATACTTTCAGGCAATGATTTCATTTTTGCAATTTATTTTATCTATAAAAAAAGAGTAAAAATTAGAGCAGTGGAATATAGTTGGTATAAGAAAAACTGGCTAGAGTCAAGAGACTCTGATTTTGCACTGACTGCAATCTATGTGACTCCTTTAATCCCTGCATCTCTGTCTTGTACTGCAATGGCATGACTATGTGTCCTGTCCTTGGCACATACAGGATGTGAGAGAGCCCTGGGACACCCAGCATTTTACAATTATAGGACACTCTCCTGAGTTTGTAAGAAGCACAGTGACAGAGACAAGCACAGGTGCAATGGAGCAAGACAGGGGTCTAAGCTCGCTCGGCTGATTGTTGGACACGGTATTTCAGAAACTTTCTAAAATCTAGCCTTTTTGTTTTGTAATATAAAACCCTACAGCTTGACATGTTTTTTAAAAAAAAAAACCCCAAAAAAGATCCTTTTTTTCTAGATGATGACAAATGTCTTTAATAAAGAAACCATCTCCCCAGACATATAAAGTGCCTATCTTTTTGGAACTGAAAGCACTTTATCAGGAATGAATAAAATGTAGCCAAATGGATAAACAGATTACGAATGTAGATTTACAGGGTGACAAGTGACGTAGCTAGTTTCCATACTGCATGTTCACTGCTCAAGACGGAAGATTCCTGGGGGTAAAGCACTATTTACATAATCTTTATAAATACCCCTTCTTTTTATACTTATCATCCTTGGGTGTCAGTGTGTACAGCGGAGTGAAAAGATGAACTCCCACTCACCTCTGAAATGCAAGCAGCGCTTTCCTCTGCAGGACCTCCTGCATCCCTCGCAGAGAAGCTAAGAAAAGGGTTCAGTTAGTCAGTGGCATGAGAGATCAGAGTTTTCTGACAATATAGAACCCATCACCATGATTACTGCACCAGCTGCTGTTAGACAGGACAGAATGCTAATTCTACCTCTAAGGCACTTGCACTTGTGCTATGAAACAACACCAAGGGAACAATACAAATTGGATGGTCACTCTTGGTAGCCCCATGTACATAGGGGCCATTTTCAAAGCAGTTGGAACTCCAGAAGAAGCATGTCCACCCTCCTGGGTGTATCATGTAACTCATGGGTAAAGACCAGCAGTCCTAGGATGGTATGGACAGGACTCAAACACCCATCGTGTTGCATCAATGACCTTCACAGATCCTCTGGCACTGACAAGCTATGACCCTGGATTAAGGGCACTATCTTGATGCCCTGCAAGTCCCGTCTAATTCACACTGGTCAATGGCCAGGACCTGCAATACTTTGATGTGAACATAAGGGAGGGAGCCACCAAACCCAACCCTGCCTGATACTGGAGTATCAACATAGAAGTATGAGGCCACCAGGCTGTAGGTCAACATTCCCCTGTGCAGAGCACATGAAAAATGGCTCCTTTATGGCCTATCTATGAACATAAAAAGATACTTTTTCCTGGGACAAGAAAACAAGTCCTAAGGACCCTGTTTGTGGTTGGAACTGCAGGAGGCAGCTCTAGCCTGACATGGACCAAGCAGTGGACAGCTGCCCAGAGGGCTGGATATGGCTGTGGCCAGGGCTAATAGAACAACAGTGACTGAGCTAAAGGGAACTCTGGAACAATCCAACTGATCCATGAATGCAAGAGGAGTCCCAGTGGGGTACAATGACTCCCAAGGCTAATTAGGGGCGGAGTCCTTATTGAGAATTAAGTTTATTCTTCCCTGAACAACTACTGTATTTGAAGCAACATGCAGAGTATGGCCAATAGATCATGTGTAGGTTGAAATAAGCTAGAAATCATTATTGAAAAGTAGTTGATATGCAAAACTTCTCCAGGGTTATCAATACTTTAAGGTAGAGGAAAGAATGAGTGGAATAATTTGTAAAACAGACTCTAACAAAATTATAAAGAAAATGAAAGGAAGTACTATAAAAGTCAGAATAGTATTTTTTCTTAAAGGGGAATGGGGGCTGTGATTGGCAGGGCACACGTGATGGACTCCCCAGGTGTTCAGCAATGTTCTACCTCCTGAGCAGGGTACTAGGTTATATTTGTTTTTGAGGGTTTTTTTTTTTAATAGTCATGTTATATTTAACAGAGAACAGAAAAACATTTAACAGAGATCAGAAAACCAACTTAGCAATTTATGTTTTCTGCAAAATATATAAAACATAGTTAAGGTATTTTTAGTCAGAAGCCCATCCACCAAAACTTAAAGTACATACCAAAATGTATAAATCACTGCCTCCAAAGGGCTGAGTGTGGTGGCTCACACTTATAATCTCACCTACTCAGAAGGCAGAGATCAGGGTGATCAAGGTGTGAGACTAGCCCAGGCACAACATTAGTGACATTCTATCTCAACAAACAAGCTAGGCTTGGTGGTACACACCAAGGTAGGAGGAACAAGGTCTGAGGCTGGCTCTAGGCAAAAACAGGAGCCCCTATCTGAAATACAATTAAAGCAAAAAAGGGATGGAGACCAAGCTCAAGTGGTAGCCTGCCTAGAAAGAATGAGGCCCTGAGTTAAAACCCTAGTACCACAAAAAAAAAAAAAAAATCATTGCCCCCCCCAAGAGCCACGGATATTTGGAGAGCTGCTTCATTACGTGTGCACATATCTGTGAATTAAAATGTGTGAATGGAAAAGGGGCAGTCCCTGACTAGTGAAGGGCTGCTTCCTGGAAAAGTTTGGCCTTGAACTCTTCTTCACTCCTTTACAGAGCCAACATCCTTTCATTTGTGAATGACCTAGGCCAAGGGCTGTGGCCAGGGCAGGAGAAAGGCTGCGTTGGGTGACTCATCTCTCCAGACCCATCTCATCTCAGACCTTGGCAGATGCTCTGCCCTTGCTGGCAAGGAGCCTGGGTGCCACCAGCCCCTTGTGCCTGTGAACAGAGCCTTCCTCCCTCCCATTTCAGTTCAAGCAAAGAGGACAGCAGCTGCAGGGGGACACACAGGCCAGCATGCCAGAATGACCCAATTCTGCACCCTCTTAATACACTGTGGGATCCTGTGGGGCAGGACTTCTCTCACCGTCAGTGGCCTGCAGACTGTATGTGAGCCCCAGAGCTAAGTAGCCTTTGGCCTTGAACTCTGACGTTTTTTCTCCCACATCAACGACAGTTTTGGCAAACTTCTCAGCCTCTTCCAACTGAAAAATGAGACAAGTTGAAAACAACAACAATCTGCAGAATTTCTAGCATGAGCTCCCATAGCATCTGCTGCCAAAATGGGTTTCTGGTGAATCACTTGGAAATGACGCCCAAAGCTTCCAGCTCCACTCTGGTCACGCGGTGTTCCTATCGAGCCTCTCCAACAGTCCTCAGCACTCCTATCTTTTGGGGTTTTTTTTCTTTATGCTTCCCTTTATTGCTTATTTGCCTCCTTTTCCAAAGTCACTTTCACACTGGGTCTTTATATTTATATTTTTACTGACTGGTTCTGCACAGAGGTTGCACTAGGTATTCAGAAGTTGAATTAAATATACTTATATAAAGAACAAAGTTCCTGGAACTCTTTATTCTTTGTGTTTGGGTCTTTCCTTTAATTAATTTATTTTTTCATGACATAAAGAATCCATTTAGACTTGGATTCTCTTTGCCACAAGCTGTTAAAAATTTCAAAACTCCATCTATGTATTTTTATAGTGCACAACACATGGACTTCACGCTAGCAGATCACAATGAGAAAATATGCACCTGTATACTACACCCATAACGAGACCTCTTGCACAATTCACTAAAGCAAACACCCTAAGATTTCTTTCTTTAAAAGTGTGGCAAATATTGATGTTGCTGAAGCTGGGTGACAGTACATGGGAGTTCTTTATACTCTTGACTGTTGAGGTGTTTGAAAATTTTAATAGGAAAAATACACAGAAAATATTTGTTATACTCATCTTTTAAAAAGAGATGGACTTGAGGTATTTAGAGTTGAGTGCATTAGGGCTGGAAGGAAGCCGGTTGAGTCCTTGCTAGAAGTTGGAATGTTCCACACTCAAAAAGATTCAGTCCACTCCTCTACTCCCCCTGGGCCTGCCTGCATTGTCCCTTCTGCTCACAGCTCCAAAATATCAAAACCTACACCACCACCCCATGCCACAGCACAGCTGTGTGCTTCAGGTGAGAACCTGCTCTCTTTTTTCTTCCACATTATCTCAAGTAAAATTGAATCAAAGTGGATCATTTTCTTTACAAGGCTTACTTTCTCCTACTGGGTGAGAACACATAGAAAAAAACCAAACAGCGAGGACTATAATGGTGGAAAAAGGGAATCTTGGTCTTTTGAGCAAATTATTCTTATCACTAATCCTGACTTGAGGTTAAAACAAAGAAACTAAAACTCCATTGTATGTGGCAATTATCAAAACTGGCATCTCAGCAAATTATTCTGGGTAATTATTTTCTACTCTAATGATACATTTTTGAGGTCTAGGACTGTTATAAATCAGGCTATTGCCATATTGAAATTTGAAGAGAATAAGGAAGAAAGGTTGTGTAAAGAAAGAGGAATGATGAAAGTTGGATCCACACGAGTTAAAGTGGAGGGCGAATGTACTTCAGGTTGAGCCAAGGTAAATAATCTTGGCACGAATTTCTCAGTCCTACGTCACTTGTGAATTCCAATCTGTCTTATCATTGGTACTTGTCAAACACATTTACACACACACACAAAGAAAACACCAGAAGCGCCCTGGGAACACACTGGTTCCCCTCAGTCTTTGGGGTGGGTGGGCAAGGACTGGGGAGGCCAGGGGTCCAGGCCCAGGGTCTGGGGCTCAAAGTCCTCATCATTCTGGAGATGGTGAATAACTTGCATTTTTCTCTGTGTTTCCCCCTGCCCTGGAGGCCCCTGACAAGGGCGAGGCTGCCCCAGCTCACCCAGTGAAGAGAGCCCATGCAGAGCTTGGCGGCCAGCAGCGGAATGGTGGCATCGTCCGGCTTCAGACGGATACACTCCTTCAGCACCTTCACAGCACGGGCAGACTTGGCGAGAGGAGAGGATTTCCGTGAAACTCAAAATGTTTGACAGACCAGATACTAAACACTTACCAGAGGGGTTTCCCTTGGCAGGGATCTGGGGATGGCAAGAACCAGGGACAGGGGCTCCTGACTGACAGATGAGTAAACTGGGGCCAGAAACGAGTAGAAATGCTGCCCTGGCATCACTCCAATCTGTTCTCTACTTGTGCAGTCATTGAAAAAAATAAGGAATTAAACAGTGGAGGCTTATGCTATTACAAAAATTAAACCTTCAATTCAAAGCACAACATGATAAATTTCTGAGTCCACTTAATAAGTCTTCTATCTCAGACTCAACAATTTACCAAATGGCCCAAATGAACAAGAACAGCTATGGCTACCACCTGCTTCTCTCTGTGGGGTTGCTATCTTAAGTACCATATGCATATTATACCTTATTTGTCTGATGATAACTCTAGGAAGTAGGTACTCTTGGCTCCATTTAGTGAAGAGGAAACTGAGGCACTAAGTGGTGTGTCCTGTGTCATTAGCTCTGAGAATGGCCCAGGCTGCAACCCAGGAGCTGCAGTCCACAGCCCTCACTTCCAGCCAGTATCACACACTGCCTGCTATCCCAGGTGGATAATGATAACCAAAAGGCCTCCCTCCCCTCCAGAATATGTTTACACCCTCAAAAAAGTGCAGGGTTGGAACGAGCTTTGATTTAAGCCATGTCCATTTCACATGTGTGAGCTACAACAGCTCACTTGTTACGAAAATATTTCAGAACTTTTCATCTTAGTGCTACATCCGTCTTGACACCCATATTAAATTTGATTGTGGTTTGTCCTGTGATTATGAAAGGATCACAGGACAAGTTGAAATAGTGACTTAGTCTTCTACAAGGAATATCATATCATCCCAGGAAATTCCATGACATAATCATCAACACGATGCAACTAACTCACTTTTCCAGCAGCCATCAGCGACAGAGCAAACTGGTACCATAGGTGGAACTCCTCAAAGGCAAACTTCATGGCTCTTTCTAAGCACTGTTTGGAAAGAAACACAAATGCCAATATCTGAGAACATCACAACTGGACCCGTGTGAGTTTGCATCTATGTGCAGTAAGATCATTCTACAAACTTGGCTTCTCTTGAATGCCTAGGATATTAACCTGCACCAGACACTTCCAAGCAGTTCCTACACAGTGCACTGCACAGTGCCAGAGGCCAGGACAATTCACAACTGACCAAAACACAATCCTTGATCTGAGTAGCTTTGATCTAGGACACAGGCAGGCAAACAAACAACTCAAACACAAGGCCCAAACTGACAAGTGCCCATGGCAGGATGTAGAAGTCCTGTGGGAAAGCGAACACAGCCTTAGGAACAGCATCCGGAAGAGTGGTTGCCGAGCTGGGGTGTGACAATGACAGGGAACAGCACAGCTAGGAGATGGGAGTGACATTCCAGGAAGAGTGTAGGGATGGCCTCAACTTGGCCACTCCAAGTCCAGGATAAAGCCAGACTGACATAGGGCAGGAATGGGAGAGTCGGGCTGCTAGGCAGGTATTGCTAAGTTGACATGACAGCTCCGTTTTAAAGTTGTTCCTTTCCCCTCCTCTGTGCCCTAAATGCTCCCGCCACCGCAACTGCATGTCAATGAGACTGTCTTCACCCTCCTGCCCCAGCCCAGGGCCATGAGGAGAAACCAAGGGCAGCAATCATGGCTTCTTGGTCTCCTCAGTACCGATGCAGTGCCTGCTGTGGTGTGTCATCCCCAAACAGACTTCCCTCCTGGGTATCAGGGAGCCTCTGGTCCCTGCTGAGAGTGACATGATATACCAGAGCTGTAGGAAAATTGGGGAGGGGAGGGGATGAAGTGTAGGACCACAGGGGAAGCAAGCCAAGAATAAGAAGGCTTAATAACTAAGAAGTGTGTCCAAGTTAGAATCAGCAATGGCAGGGTAACATGAAGACTTCTTATTGAAGGAGAAGGGGAGAGAAGGACCAGGGAAGGAAACTGAAGAGGGGAGTCTGGGGTGGGGAGAGGATGTGGATCCAGAAAAGGTCTGAGGAATTGGAGCAATGGTCAGAGGCAATGGAGACCAAGCAGCTGGATTTAGCCTCATGCCGAGGCTCTGTGAGGATACTGTGGGGCCAGCTGAGGAGGACTCCAGGCCATGGGGTCAGAGGAGAAAAGATGCAGGTAAGAAGTGAAGAAAGGCTGTGTGGAGCACAGACCTGGCAATGAGGACAGGCTATGTGGCTAAGTCCTTATTCCCTCATAGAGGTGACTTGAGCAATTGTCTAACATGAAACGAGCAGGCAAGTAGAAAACACTGAGGAGACACAGAGTGACAGGTCCCCAGAACAAATGAGCCCAGGCTCTCAGGCCTTCTCATGAGGAAGCAGGGGCCTTAAAAGAAAGAAGAGAGGCTGCAGGGGCTATCCTGCCCACCACTGCTTTCTTTGTCAAGGTGGAATAAGGTGGTTGCTGGGAGGAAAAGAGAAACTAGGATTAGAAGGAAAGTGAAAGTAAAGAAGGGGAGAGGGGAGAAGAGAAGGGAGAAGAGAAAGGGAAGGACTGAACAATAAGGAAAGCCTCACAGTACTCCCATCAGGGTCACCTTAGAGACTGGACTGGGTGTTCAGACACCTACAGCACCACGCGGCCATTTTTATCTGTAATACTCTGAAGCCAGCTCAAGAGTAGAGAACATGATAAAATTCTGTGGATTAATGGGAGGGAAGAGCTGGGAGCCACAGAGGGCATGACAAATTGGAGGTCACAGTAAAGGCAAAGTGAGGTTGAGGGAGAGGAAAAAAGAATCCCAGAATTCTAAATGATCTCCACCGAGAAGATCACAGTAGTACTGTCCTAGTTGGTTCACTGGGAAAACCTGCCAGCAGGACTTAGAAACTGACTTTGGGGATGGCATGAGGCCTAATGGAGAAGGAGGAAGCAGGGCTGAGTTAGCCAAGGGGTGGCTTGTGGAGTAGATGACCCTGGTCCTCACACAGGATATCATGAACCCTGGAAGGAGGGAAGTGGGGAGCACCCAGGGAAAGCTCCTCATGCAGAGGGTATCTGTCCTTTTACCTGTCTTATACTTCAAAATCTGCTGATTTTGGGTGCATGTGAAAGCACCCAAAAGAGAAAGGCTACAATAGGAGGCTGTCATATGACCTTTGCATAGCCAATCAGAAACTCCTGCTGGACACTAAATCGGAAGGTAGTGAGGGAGGAAGGGACCACTGGAGGTTATTCCCAGTGGCCAGACCTAGGGCCCATAGAACAAGAAGGCTTGGTGGAGGCCTCCTGAGCAAACCATGGCCTCCTAACCCAGGGACGGAGCTTTGCCCCCTTGGTGTCTGTTCTTCAGCCTCCTGCGGATCCTATGAGCTGAGCAATGTGGACCCATAGATGCCGTCTCTGCTTCAGTCACCAAGTCAGGCTTTGTCTCCTACAACTAAGGCCTGCAGCACACCCAAGCTAATGTCTCAGGCTCCTCTTGCAACAACCCCTCCTGCCAGCCCCAGTGAGCACTTGCAGAGATTCTGCCTGAGGACCCTCAGAACAGGGAGCTCATGAGCCAAATGGTAGCTGGAAAGAAAGAACCTAGCCCTTCCACTGCATGGGTGTGTGAACTGGACACGTCAAATAACTCTGCTCCTGGATTCCTCACTGAGAACTGGGGACTGTAAGAACAACTAAATGCAGAGTTACCAGGGAGACTAACTTAGCTCATACTTAAAAAGACCAGAAACAGTGCCTCGCTTACAGACTAGTAAACGCTAAACAAAGATTGCTATTACTCCTTTAAAAGTTTTTAACTTTATTTGCTTACTTGTTTACTTATTTATTTATTGGAAATAAGATCTCACTTATGTAGTCCAGGTAGCTGAGAAAAAAGGTATATACTATCATGTCCAGCCAAATTTTTAACATTTTTATATTAGGAAAGAAAACACAACAAATATTATGTCACTCCAGTTTACTATATGAACACTGGAATTTATTGTGGGCACTTACTCTTCATTTTAGAAAAGGGCTCAATGTAAGACCCTGGAAAGAGTATATGACATTACAGAACTGGACTGAAATGTATGCTTGTTCATTGCTTTAACAAGTTATTCTTTTTAAATTTTTTTTTCTGATAGTGCTAGGTATGTAGCCAGGCACTATTTTAATTGCTTTACAAGTACTGCCTCACTAGGACACCCTAACAACCCCGCATGGCACAGACAGGTGCAAAGATCATCCTCCTTGCAGGGCCAGGAACCTGACACACAGGTGGTAACTGCACCCAGAAGCTCAGTGAGCTGGTGGCAGAGCCAGCTGGGAATCAAGCTGCCTGGTTCCAGAATCTGAGTTCCTAAGCATGACACCCTACAGCCTCCAGGACTTCAATCCCAGACACTTTGCTTACTTAACTTCACAGGCCCCTTCACATTGCTGATAGGAGCCCTGCTCCTATGGCCTCTTTGGGTCCTCAAGTAGACTCAGTACTGAGACCTTTCCAGCTATGGAATACCCCAGAAGCACCCCAGCAGGTGATGGTTTACCTCCATCTCAAAGGTGCTGAATTCAACAAATATTTCAGTGGCCATGCATTTTCTCTATACTGCAGCATCTTTCACAGTTCCCTCCCTGTTTGGATCTTTTTCTTATAAGTATAACATCCCACATCCCATCATAAGCTATGGGAGTGTCATAAAGACCATTAGGAAGTGCAAGTGAACAATCAAAAACTAGCCTAACCCCAGTTCAAAGGTGGGTGAGCTGTGTTACAGCTCAGGGCTCTGCCTTCCTGTGGGCTCCTGTGATACACAGACAACTCTGAAAGTGTCCAGACAACTCCAGAGCTCCTGAATCCTCATGCCACACACAGTGCTTGGATAATTCACATGTCTTCCCTTGTGTTTCCATAAACCATGAGGTGAAAACCTCTGAGCAGCTCAGGATGCCCACACCTCAATAAGAAGAGAAGCCCCTCTCAAAAAACACCTCTATGTAGAAAGCAACCTAGGTTTGTCCTGGGGACATTTAATAGTTCCACAACCTCTTCCTCTTAGACAGGGTGTCCTCACACCAATCTTTTGACTAGCCCCTTTATAAAACCCCAATCATATCTCTAAGTGATGGAGTAAAATGTCCAGTTTTAATGTTATAGGGCGGTTGAGAACAGAATATGTGCTAATAAAATAAAAGCATCCATATTTTCATAGTGGTCTCAGTGAAAATGGACTTTTCAGAGGGAACATGGGGGACGTGCAAGAGGCTGCTGAAGAACACAGGCCTGGTGTGACAGCAGGAGGAGGAGAAAAAAGAGAAAGAGGAGGGGGGCAGCCATATGGAGAACATACTGGCTCTGGGGCAAGACTGCCCAGGCTTGACCCGATCCCCTTTCTCTCCAGCCAGAGAGCTGTTATGGTGGTGAAGTAATGGATGGAAAATGCTCCCCCAGGTGTCTGGCCCAGAATGACAGTTGCTGAGGTTGCTTTTGTGAAACAACACAGCAGCAGGTCTTGTGGGGTTCAATATGAAGTAGGGATGATGGAGAATGAGAATCCATGGAATGGGGTGGGGTGCCAGGGGATGGCAAAGGGAGAGTGGACAGGATCCTTTGGGCGAAAAGGGAAGAATGAGGGCAAGATTCTGGGCCCTTTACACTTTTGAAGTCAGCTAGAGAGAGGGTGTGAGGCCTAGGGAGAGGGATATGGTGCTTGATTCAGAGCTACAGACCCTTGAGTCATCTACAAAGCAGGAGGCACCCCTCCAAATCAGCTCCATTCAGCAGCAGTATTACGTCCTACCAGAAGGACAGGTGCAGAATAATCACTAGACCCTAAATGGCATCTTCATCATGTGAGTGGTAGTCAGAATGTCACTTACAAAAATGTTTCTGTCCAGAGCAAGAGCCGGAGTATGGAAGCCTTATGCCTTTCCATTCAGTGTTTCCTAAGCAGCCATCTTTGAGGGGCTCCAGGAATGAGCCTCTCTTCTGGCATAAGAAGCAGATTTAGCAATTACGGTCCTTGTAC